TGGGTGAGGGAGACGCATGCGGATTGCGCCACGCGTGTGAGGGGTGTACCGAAATGAGTGGCGGGGACGCATGCGGACTGTGCCACGGGGACCTTCGTCGGAGCTCCTATGGGGCCACGAAACGTGTGAGGGGTGTGCCGAAATGAGTGGCGGGAACGCATGCGGACTGCCACTGGGACCTTCGGCGGAACTCCTATGGGGCCACGAAGCGTGTGAGGGGTGGGCCGAAATTAGTGGCGGGGACGCACGCGGACTGTGCCACTGGGACCTTCGGCGGAGCTCCTATGGGGCCACGAAACGTGTGAGGGGTGTGCCGGAATGAGTGGCGGGGGGCCACGAAACGCTGTACTGGGTGGGGGAGACGCATACGGATTGCGCCACGGGGACCTTCGGTGGGGTTCCATATGGGGCCACGAAACGCTGTACTGGGTGAGGGAAACGCATGCGGACTGCGCCACGGGGACCTTCGGCGGAGCCCCATATGGGGCTACGAAGCGCTGTACTCGGTGGGGGAGACGCATGCGGACTGCACCACGGGGACCTTCGGCGGAGCCCCTATGGGGCCACGAAGCGCTGTACTGGGTGGGGGGGACGCATGCGGACTGCGCCACGGGGACCTTCGGTGGGGCTCCATATGGGGCCACGAAACGCTGTATTGGGTGGGGGAGACGCATGCTGATTGCGCCACGGGGACCTTCGGTGGGGCTCCATATGGGGCCGCGAAACGGTGTACTGGGTGGGGGAGACGCATGCGGACTGCGCCACGGGGACCTTCGGTGGGGTTCCACATGGGGGCATGGAGCGCTGTACTGGGTGGGGGGGACGCCTGCGGACTGCGCCACGGGGACCTTCGGCGGAGCCCCTATGGGGCCACGAAGCGCTGTACTGGGTGGGGGAGACGCATGCGGACTGCGCCACGGGGACCTTCGGTGGGGCTCCATATAAGGCCACGAAACGCTCTACTGGATGAGGGAAACGCATGCGTACTGCGCCACGGGGACCGTCGGCGGAGCCCGTATGCGTATGGGGCCACGAAGCGCTGTCCTGGGTGGGGAGACGCATGTGGTACACACCACTGGGGCCTTAGGTGGACCTCCCTAGGGGGCCATGGGGCGCTGTCCTGGGTGGGGGAGACGCATGTGGTACACACCGCTGGAGTCTTAGGTGGACCTCGCTATGGGGCCACGAAGCGCTGTCCTGGGTTGGGGAGACGCTCGTGGTACACACCACTGAGGCCTTAGGTGGACCTCCCTATGGGGCCACGAAGCGCCGTGCTGGGTGTGGCGGACGCATGTGGTACACCCCACTGGGGGCGGGGGGGGCACGTGAGAGGAGGGGAGGAGGGAGGAGGAGGAGGAGGAAGAGGAGAAAAAGGAGGAGACGCGGGGACCGTCTCTTCAAAACGAGGACAACACAGGTTGGTTGGGAAACAATTGCAACGCGTTTCATTGATGTTTCATCGCTAACTCACCACAAATTGCGTTTTGGAACGATCCAGACTGTCAGGTTGCAACAGTTACGTTGGATGGCGGGCTGTATTCAACATGTGGCTCTCGCCTGGGCGCCGCGCATTTTCGTCTTGACAGGTTGCACGAGTTTCATGGATGGAGGGCGGGCCGTCTTCACTATATATCTCTTGCCTTAGCGCCGTGCACGTTCGTCTTAAACGTTTACCACGCTTTTGCGGACGGAGTGCGGGCCGTTTTCAAAGTATGGCTTTCGCCTTAGCGCCTCGCATTCGTTTTAACAGTTTGCGAGAGTTTCACGGATGGAGGGCGGGCAGTTTTTCGAAATGTGTTTCTCGTCTGAGCGCCGCGCACATTCGTTCTCACAGTTTGCGAGAGTTTCATGGATGGAGGGCGGATCGTTTTCAACATGTGGCTCTCGCTTTAGCGCCACGCACATTCGTTTTACAACATGTGCAAGAGGTTCATGGATTGAGGGTGGGTCGTTTTCCAAATGTGGTTCCCGTCTTGGTGCCGTGCAAATTCGCTTTAAAGTTAACACGTGTTTCACGCATGGAGTGCGGGTCGTGTTCAAAATGTGGGTCTCGCCTGAGCGCCGCGCACATTCGAATTAACGCACATTCGAATTAACAGTTTGCAGCGTTTAAAGGGTATTTAAGGTTGATGCCCCATAACTTGTGTGTTTGGCGCAACTTGGGAATGTCAGGGCGCGACAATCACGTTGATTCGCGGTGTGGACGTCCCAGAAACAGTGTTTTCTCTAGCGCGATACAGGATCCTCAGGTCGCAACAGCCACGTTGATCGGCGGCGTTGAAGTCCCAGAAATGGTGCTTTGGCACGGTCAAGATTTTCAAATGACTGTCTTCCAACGGGTCATTTCCCGCAGTCAAGATGAATCTCTATAGGAGCCTATTAAGAGGGAACCTGGAGGGAGGGTTTATTTCAACATCCCTGATGAGCACTGGGTTTACATTGGTCCTTCTCCTCCGCCTCCTCCTCCTCCTCCTCCTTCTCCTTCTCCCCCCCCTCCCCCTCCTCCTCCTCCTCTTCCTCCTCCTTCTCCTTCTCCCCCTCCCCCTCCTCCTCCTCCCCTCCTTCCTCCTTCCTCCTCCTCCTCCTCCTCCCTCCTCCTACTCCTCTCCTCCTCCTCCTCCTCCTCCTCCTCCTTTTCCTCCTCCTCATTTTCCTCTCCTCCTCCCTCCTCCTCTTCCTCCTCTTCCTCTCACTCCTCCTCCTTCACTCCTCCTCCTCCTCCTCCTCCTCCTCCTCCTCCTCCGCCTCCTCCGCCTCCTCCTCCTTCTCCTCCTCCTCCTCCTCCTCCTCCGCCTCCTCCACCCCCTTCTCCTCCTCCAGGGAGGGAGGGATGGACGGATGGAGGCTGCCGGCGCTTGCCTCGAAGCCTTGGCAGCGCTCTATGGGCGCAGATGTGCTGCATGGCTCTGCGCAGCCCGAGGTCACGGGGGCGTTGGTCAGATGTCGGCGCGCGCACAGTGGCGGCGCGAGGGGGGTGTCCTTGTCAGAAGGTGGGGCGTTTCTTAGAAGGCAGGGGCCTGCACGCCATGCCGCTCCACCTTCTCCTCCTGCTCCTCCTCCTCCTCCTCCTCCTCCTCTTCCTTCTCCTCCTTCTCCTACTCCTCCTCCTCCTCCTCCTCCTCCTCCTCCTCCTCCTCCTCCTCCTCCTCCTCCTCCTCCTCCTCTCTCTCTCTTTCTCTCTCTCTCTCTCTCTCTCCTCCCGGAGACAGAGATTTCCGTCAATTTGGTAGAGACGGCACTGGTCGACGGGAGCCGCGGCAATTCGGAGTGGTCGCTTCCCATTCCCGTGGGCCTGGCAGGGTGACGAGGGCCTGGTCGAAGGGCATCCGCGCGGCCGAGGAAGCCAGCTTCCTCCGGGGGAAGGCTCAGTCTGTCGGTCCTGAGGCGGATGGATGCACCTGGGGAGGTAGCTGGCGCCATACAACTTCTTGGGGGTTGGCGCCGTGGGGGGCCCAAAGCGGCCCTTGGGGGAGGGGTGGAGTCTGTCCTGCGCTCTCGGGGCCTGCCGATGTTCATTTGGCGTGTCCCGCCTCTTTTGCTCGGGGCGTTAACCAGCGCGCCGACGTCCGCCCGCGCGCGGCCATGCCGCGCTGGGGGGGCGCGGGGGGAGTCATTCCCAACTTGGAGAGTGTTTGTGGCAGAACCTGGTGGTCTTCTGCCCTCCGCTCGGCAGATGCGCGGTTGCCGCGCTAGCCAGTCAATTCGAGGCACTGCCAGGTTGCGATCTGTCAGCGCGTGGCCTCGAGCATTTAGGCGGCGGACATTGCTTGGCAGGGCGGCTTTAACGGGTCGCGCGTGGCCCAGGTCATGTGTGCTTCAGATCTGGAAGGCGCTTTTGAGGAGCATGGCCTCACCGCTGTCTCAGGGGAGGCGGTCCGCGGTGGGGAGGCGGACAAGCGGGCCCCCTGCCAGCACAGCGCCACACTGGCCGCTCACTTCTCGCCGGACCCCGAATGAATTCCAGCGCCGTGACTTTCTGGCAAGACCCCCCCGTCGTCTTCTGCCCCGAGCAATATTTTGAAGGCAGCGATGCCCAGTGAGGGCTCTGCAGGCCGACGGCTGCCAACAAAAACCTTCGGCCAGCGTTTTTCTTGTTGGGGGGTGTTTTTTCACGCTGCGCGTGAGGATGTCGGGGAAGCGGGCGCGCTACCACTGAAGCACCGGCCGTCCGCTCTTCGCTGGAACCTTGTGGTTGTTTGGAGCCGCCGGCGCCAGGGAGCCCAAACAGGACGGTCGCGCCCAGCCACGTACACGACTATGCGCCCCCAAACTCGCGAGGGCGCCCTCATGTCACGAGCGCTCGCGCAGTGCGCCTGCTCAAAGCCCGTGTGAATTCATGCCAGCACGCGTGCGTCCTTGTTCCGCCCCTGCGCTGCGCTGCAGTTGTCGCGGTCCGAGCGGGCTCTGAAGGCTTCCAGGGCCGTGTCCAGCACGCAGCTCCGTGGCGCGGGCTTCCCTTGCGGCCGCGCCCATCTGCCGCCAGACCGTGGCCCAGGATCCCGCGCCACCCAGGCTGGGGCAGGCCCTGCCGCCCCGGCCCGGGGCCCCCGACCTGCGGGGTCTGCCAGGACGCTTCCCCGGGGCGCCCCGCCGGGAGCCTGGCAGGGCTCCCCCCCGAGGGGGCCGGAGGTGCCTGCCGGGTGTCAGGCGGCCGAGCGCGGAGGGGGCGGCCTGCGGAGTGGGGGGGGGGGTCGCGCGGCAGCGGCGGTGGCTGCCGCGCCGTTGCCGGGAGGGCTCCGAGGCGGCCGTCTGGTGCTGGCTGCTTCTCTCGAGGGGCGGGGGCAGGGGGGATGGAGGGAGCGGGGGGAGGGAGGGAGGAGGCTGGGAGGGGAGGGAGAGGGCTCGAGGAGGGAGGGAGTCTACGTAGGGAGGGGGGAGGCGAGGGGGCGAGAGGAGGGAGGGAGGTGGCGGAGGAGGGAGGAGTGAGGAGGAGGGGAGGCCGATGAGAGGGAGGACGCGGAGGATGGGGCCCTCGTCAGGCTCCGCCCCCCTCTCGGCAGGTGCGGTGGCTGGCCGTGGACGCCTGGAGCCTCCGCCAGACATTGGGCGCGCGGCCAGTGCTCCTGGGCACCCCACGGGATGGCTACAACGCAGGCCCCGACCTCCCGGCGTCGTAAAGAGTAAAACGGTCAGGAATTCTGGCTTGCCGTGTCGCTCCACCAGTTCTGGCCCACTGCGCTTCGGCGCAACAGGCTATCCACGTCCCCACTCCCAGAGGCCAACGTCCCGAGCATTCCCGAGCCTCGCGCTCCGCGGAGTGGAGCGACACGCTGTCCGCTGGCAGGGCATAAGCGTGTCGCTGGGGCCGCCGCCGCGACACGCTAAGCAAACATTCCCGACCGTAGTCGTTCGAGGCTCGTGGTTTTCCAGCGTGTTTGCAGTACAGAAACACTCCCCCCCGAACGGTTTCGGATATGCTTAGCACACGTTTGGAACGATAGTTGTTTCGGATCGGGTTTAAGGTTCGACTGATGTTTCAGCGTTTGACGTTACCGCAACCGTTCTGGCTCTAGCGCCCTGAGGTGAAAAGAGATCCTCTCGAGGCCCTGCGGGGCCCAGTATCGATCATGTGATACCAGCACGATTCCGCGGATGGTAGTGGAGCGTGGCCGAGGCAGGATCACCCTCCGTGTCCTGGTGATCCTCGGTCACGCTGCCGAGGCGGGAGCCGCGGCGATGGAGGCCTTCGCGGAGCGCGTGCGTCTCATGGAAGGGCGAGGTGACACGGCACCGCGAGGTGCTCGCGGAGAACGAGAATTTGCGGCGGAGACTGGACGCCGCTGAGCAGCGTTTGGCGATGGGCGAGCAGCGCGCTGGAGAGCGCGACGGCGGCGCAGCCGCAGCAGCAGCACCAGGTCCGAGCAGCGGACAGGTCGTGGACACGAGACTGTTGAACAAGCCGCGGACGTTCACTGGCTTGCATTCGGAGTGGATGTTATGGTCGTTCGACTTCGAGGCCTACGTGTTCGCGGTCCACCCCCGACTGGGGGACGTGCTCAACCAGGCGTCGAGAACGGCGGATGTGCTGACGGCACAGACCGAGGTGGACGCCACACTCAACACACAGTTGTACTACATCGTGGTCTCGGTGACGTCGGATGTGGCCAAGGTCGAGGTCAGGAACGCCCCGCGAGGAAACGGGTTCGCTGCGTGGTGGCACCTGCTTCGAGAGTTCGCGCCGAAGGAGGCGAACAGGTTCGCGGCCATGCTGGGTCGGATCATCCGATGCGAGTTTGCGGACCCCGTGATGACGAATTTGGAGGAGTTCGAGCAGCTCGTCAGGGAGTGCTCGGACCAGAGCGGCGAAGTGATTTTCGACAACATGAAGCGGGGTGTGGTCATGTCGGGCATCAAGAACGAGAAGCTGGCGGACCACCACAGCTTGAATGCTTCGCGTTTGGTCACGTGCGACGACCTGGAGACGGAGCTGAAGACGATCTGCTCATCGCAGCGACGTTGGGCCGCAGCGGACTCTGGAGGCGACGGCGTAGTCCCGATGCGGGTCGATGCAATCGGTAAAGGAAGGGGCAAAGACGGCAAGGGCAAAGGCAAGGCCGGCAAAGGAGAGAAAGGCGACCCCAAGGGCGACTCCAAGGGCAAGGACCGAGAGACCCGCAGTTGCCACTGCTGCGGCAAGGCTGGCCGCCTCGCATCCGACTGCCGCAAGGAGAAGGCGGGCGAGAAGAAGGGCGGGAAGGTCGCATCGCTGACGGACGCGACCCAGGTACAGCCTTCCGCCTCGACGGCAACGACGGCGCTGAAGGGGGGCAGCACTGACTCGCAGAGCAGCTTGGCCCCCGCGATCGACGTGCCTCACGTGGCAGCAGTCCTAGCCCAGATGCAGTTGCAACAGCAGCGGAGTCCACCTTCGACGAACGCTACAGTTCACATCGCGAACATCCAGGTGGCAGGCGACGCTGACATCCCTACGCCCGATGAGTACTACTGGCAGGTCGGCATGATGTGCGCCACGACGCAGTGCGATGCGCTGCCGTCGACGGTCGGCGACTCGGTGGAGTTCGACTGGGCGCTCGTGGATACAGGCTCAGGGCTCACCACCTGCCCGCAGGAGTTCGCGAACATGACCGAGATGCTTCCGCCCGAGAAGCTGCCGCTTTGCGAGTCGGCGACTGGCGACGAGGTCAAGTCCATGGGCGCGAGGGTCGTGGCGGCCGAGAGCGACGGAGTACCTCTCCAGATCGAGTTCCAGGTCGCGAGCGTGAAGCGCGCCATCGTGGGCGCCGACGCCTTCGCGGAGGGGGGCCATGTCCCGATCGTCGGCAATGCATCCTGCTCGCGGACGGCCGCGAGATCAAGCTGCACAGGGGCGGGGGGGCGTTCTGGCTCAGGATCAGGAGGCCCGTCGAGAATGTCGACGAGCCGATCCTCGTCAGCCCCGTGCAGCCGAACGCTGAGGCCCGATCTGTTCCGCGCGAAGCACCTGCTGACGAGGGAGATGCAGAGCCTGAGGCCGACGCCGACCCACCGGCACCGCCGCCTCCACCGCCGCCACCAGCTGCCGGCGATGGCCAGGATCAACCAGACCAGGAAGGAAATCAACGCGAGGGCGTTCGACGACAGCGAGAAGACGGAGCGCTACTGCAGGTTTCGGGAGAAGCCGCGGCGGCTAGGGCGAGAGGGGTCCCAGTGATGCCAGATCGAGCGGTTCGAGACCAGCGTCGTCTCGCGCACTGGCCCTTCCGCACGTGGTGTTTGTTCTGCATCATGGGCCATGGTCAGGGGGGCCCTTGCGCGCGCTTAGCGGGCCCCGGCCGCCTGATCCCGCTGGTCTGCACCGACTGCTTGTTCCTCGGAGACATCGATGGCGACCACCTCGCGGTACTGAACATCCTGGAGTGCCAGTCGGGCGCGATCGAGTGCGCGCAGATGACCGTGAAGGGGCCTGCGGACTATGCCGTAGCAGTGGCGACGGCGGCGATGCGCATGTGGGGCCTCGACCGCGTTCTTCTTGGAGCTGATGAGAACCCGCTATCCAAGCCTTGGTCCGAGCCGTGTAGCTGGCTCGAGAGGAAGAAACAGTGCCTCACAGCGGACCTAGGCGAGATCCCAAGAGCAAGGGATCGATCGAGAACGCCAACAAGCTGGTCGAGTGCATGTTCCAGTGACACTGAGGGCGTCGATCGAGTCGAGGTACAGTTCCGAGCTCACCTGTAACCACTGGACCATGGGCTGGATCATTCGGCATGCAGGAAGGCTCCTGCCAAGGTACCCAGTGAAGGAGGATGGCCTCGCGCCCTACCGGCACCTGAAGGACAGCGCGCGCGGAGGAGCGATCTGCGAGTGCGGCGAGACGGCGATGTATAAGATCCAGAACGCGGCCCACCACAAGGCGGATATCCGCTGGGGCAAAGCCGTCTGGGTCGGGAAGGACAGCCGCACGGGCGAGCACCTCCTGGCGACCGCTGCTGGTCGGAAGACGGCGAGGACGATCAACGGGCGAGCTGAGGACCAGCGATGGTCCAAGAGCCTGTTCAACAAGGTCGAGTGCGCGCCGTGGGGCACTCGCGCAGGACCCGAGGCAGCGCCGCCTCCCTCGCCGCCGCTGCATCACGAGGGCCATCATCGATCGGGTTGGACCTACACCTCGTTGCGACGGCTGCTACGGGCTTGGTCACCCACGCGCCGAGTCCTGCAGAGATCGGATCGAGAGCCTGCTGAAGGCCTAGGAGGAGAAAGACAAGACAACCAGGAGGCAGCAGTTCGAGCAGCCGCCTCCGTAGCAGCTGCAGCACCCCCCGGGGGGGGGGAGAGATCAGCCTGCTCCGCCTGCTCCCGCCGACGAGCAACCTGCACCAGCAGCATCGGCTCCAGCGCCGCCTGCTGTCCTACATGGTCCAGAGGCAGATCGAGGCGGGCGACCTCGCAGGCGTCGACTTGAGGCAGATGCCCCCCTCGGATCCGATGCAGGAGGGACCTCCAGCGCAGGAGCAGCAGGACGGAATGGAGCTCGGGGTGATCGAGACGGACTGGAACGGGACCGGTGATCGCGGGCCTGTTTGCCAACGTGGCGACCGCAGTGTTGGCGCTGACGTGCGAAGCCATTCCTTGCGACAGCGAAATGAACACCAACAAACACAGTCTCTACGACAGGGAGTCGAACTACCAGAACGTGTTCGGAGCTAGGTCAGACAGGAGGCTGGACCCTTCCTTGGTGAAGCAGGGCAGGGAGAAGGGGCACGGGCAGATGGAGGAGTTCCAGGTCTTCGACCGCGTGCCTAAGAACTCCGCGAAGGGCAAGCGCGTCCGCGGGAAGTGGGTCGACGATGAGCGCTGCGACGACGACGGCAGGGAGTTGGTCAGGTCGCGCTTCGTGGCCATGCAGTTCGACTGGGACGTGCGGGGCGACGCTTTCGCAGGCGCGCCACCGCTGGCCGCGTTCAGGCTGGTGGTCTCCTTCGCATCAAGCCTATACTCCACGGGGATCGGCTACGACGGCGTGCTCGCTCTCTACGGCGTGTCGGTGGCGTTCTGCCGCGCGTATATCGACGAGGACATCTGCGCGGTGCCGCCCAAGGGAGAGGAGCCCGAAGGCATCGTGTACCAGCTGAAGAGGGCACTCCGCGGCGCCAGGAGGGCCTCGTTCTTGTTGCAGAACCTGATCATGGAGGTCATGGGGAGAGGAGGCTTCGCCCGCATCAAGGTGACGGTTCAAGCCTACTACCACAGGGGGCGCCTGCTGATGGTGATTTGTCATGTTGACGAGGCAGGGGGGAGTTGAGTCAGGCAGTTTCATCAAGCGCGCAGTGACGTGGTGTCCCGAAGGTTTCGGCACCATGCACGATCGCAAGCATGCGGGGATCCTGGTCAGCACCATGCTCAGCAGGAAGATCCTCGAGAGCAGCGCCACCAAGCGCACGATCACCCCGTCTTCCAAGACAATCGGGAAGGACTGCAGAGTCATCCGACGAGCTCAGCACAGAGTACGCGACCTCCTACCGCGGCATGGCGCCTACCGCACTCTACGTCGCGCGCGACCGCTTCGGCGTCCAGCGGGCCGTCGGCTACCTCATGAGGGGCATGGTGGCACCGACTTGGCACCGTTGGCTACTGCTTCAACGCTTGGCCAGCTACCTGGAGCAGCGCCCGCAGTTCGAGCTCTTCTTCGAGTTCCAGAGGGTGCCGAAGGTTGTCGTGGCGGAGGTCGACAGCGACTGGGCATCAGAGCCTGGTCGGAGGTCCGTGGACGTTGGCTTCCTGTTCATCGGTTCGCACCTGATCGACGGCTGGAGCGGCCAGCAGGGCAGCCGCGCCCTGGGCAGCGCCGATGCGGAGTCCACGGGCGTCGTGAATGGATCGGCGAGGGGCATCTGGCTCCGCAGCGTGATGTTGGAGATGGGCTTCGAGGTGACGTTGCAGGCCCAAACGGGCAGCTCTGGGGCCAAGGGCATCGCATCGCGCCTCGGATGCGGCAAGGTGCGCCACCTGGAGACGAAGTACCTCTGGGTGCAGGAGAAGGTCAGGGATCGGACCATCACGATGGCGAAGATCCACGCGGATGTCACCAGGGCCGACGTGCAGACAAAGCCGCTGGAAGGGCCGAGATTCCTGAAGTTGCTGGCGTTCCTTACACTTCGGACACCGTCCTCAGGGCCCACGCAGGTGTTCGGATTCATGCCGGCGGCCACCGTACTCGGTGGAGCTCAGGGTTCGGCAGTCATTCCATACAACCAGGCGGTGATGGTGGTGAGCAGTTCGACCGTGGCGGAGCGGATCTGGACGACGATGCTCACAGTGATGCTCTGCTCGACGTTGGCGATCGCATTCCTGGCGACGTGGATCGTGTACCGCATTTACAAGGCGCCGTTGCGGTTCCTGAAGGGCTTGTGGGACTGGTGGCGCGCCCACCGGCTGAGGAGAAGTATAAGCAGCCAACAAACAGGCTGGAGATCGAGGATTGCTGGCGGCCAAGCCGACACACGCAGACGGTGCCCGTGCCTCACTACTGGACGTGGAGCGCAGTGGACCTCAGAGCGGAGTGTGAGCGCCTGAGGATCTACCACGGTCGGCTCAAGGCGCAGATGATCGTGGACCTGCTCATCGGAGCAGGGCGCAAGTGAATGATTCTTCTGGTGCGGTGGCACCGCCTTTTCACGTTTACGACGCAGCTGCAAGAGCTGGCGTCGCCTGTTTGCTTTTCCCTCTCGCACGAGCTCGAGGGCGCGAGAGGATGAAGCCCAGCGTCGTGGCGCTGGCCCTCGGAGGAGAAACGAGATAGGCCCGCGGGCGAAGGTGCCAGACCTTGTTCGAGCTAGGATGACCCAGGACGATTTCTGTTCAGTTGATGTGCCCCAAGCTAAGCCCAGGGCCCAAGGGGGAGTGCAGTACAGAAACACTTCCCCCCCGAAAGCTTTCGGATATGCTTAGCACACGTTTGGAACGATAGTTGTTTCGGATCGGGTTTAAGGCTCGACTGATGTTTCAGCGTACAGCGTTTGACGTTGCCGCAACCGTTCTGGCGCTAGCGCCCTGAGGTGAAAAGAGATCCTCTCGAGGCCCTGCGGGGCCCAGTATCGATCATGTGATACTAGCGCGATTCCGCGGAGTGTTCGTGGACTCCCGGAGGGCTTCCCGCATCGGAATTCTTTGCAGCAGTTGCGCCTCGCTGAATGCGTTCTGGGGGTGCCTGGATCGTCCTTGACGTCCGCCAGAGATCAACCTGGGTCAGAATCGAGTGCTCCAGACAAAAATGTTGTGCTGAGCAGGAGCATGAGGATCATGTGTTATCCAGACCCGCCAGCTTACAGAGATTCCCGATCTATCTTCATCCGAGTGTATCTTCACCTTTCCTTCATCTCAGGAGGCCTCTGCTCTGTGTGGTCTCTCTTTTGCAGGTACGCCCGGCGCCTTCGATCGCCTGGTGCGGAGCGGCCGCGCGTCGCCCAAGGATCGGGCTGAAGCCGCTGCGTGTCGTCCCTGTCGTCTCTCATTTTCCTGGGGGGCCCAATCATGCACATGATTATATGATGATGTTGTTGTTGTTGATGATGATGATGCTACTGATGATGCAGATAATGACGATGATAGTGGTGGTGGTGATGATGATGACGGTGATGATGATGATGATGATGATGATGATGATGATGATGATGATGATGATGATGATGATGATGATGATGATGATGATGATGATGATGATGATGATGATGATGATGATGATGATGATGATGATGATGATGATGATGATGATGATGATGATGATGATGATGATGAGTGTGGTGGTGATGATGGTGGTGGTGGTGGCTGTGGTAGGAGGGGGGGGAGGAGGAGGAGGAGGAGGAGGAGGAGGAAGAGGAGGAGGAGGAGGAGGAGGAGGAGGAGGAGGAGGAGGAGGGGGAGGCATGCGTTGCGGGAAAGACCGTGTCCGCCGTGCCAGGAGGGGGAGGAGGAGGAGGAAGTGTAGAAGAAAGAGGACCAGTGTAAACCCAAGATTCATCAACGCTGCTGGAATCCACTGTCCCTCCAAGCTCCTTCTTCATAGGCTCCTACATGGGTTCGATTCCACTGAGGGGATTGCCCCGTTAGGGGAGAACCGTGTGAAAATCTTGAAGCGTGCCAACAACACCATTCTCACAACTCCAACTCCACGAATTTACCTGACTGTTACGTCTTCGCGATCCTGAGTCGTGCCACAACACCATTACTGGGACTTCAACACCGCGAATCAACGTAACTGTTGCACCCTGACAGTCCTGGATCGTTCCAAAACGCCAGTTGTGGTGAGTTAGCGATGAAGCATACATTAAACTCTTCGCAATTCGCTAAGGCGAGAGCCACATTTTGAGACCGAGCCCCTTCAATCGGTGAAGCTCTTGCATCTTTGCAGAGTGAATGTGCGCGGCGCTGAGGCGAGAGCCACATTTTGAAAACAGCCCGCCCAAAATCCGTGAAGTTCTGGCAAGTTCTAGAAAACGAATGTGCGCGGCGCAAAGGCGGGGGCCACATTTTGAAAACGACCCGCCGTGAGTCCGCAACATTCTTGCAGCTGTTAAACAACGGATATGCGCGGCGTTAGGGCGAGAGCCACATTTTGAAAACGACCCGCCCTCAATCCGTAAAACTCTTGCAACTGTTTATGAACGAAGGTGCTCGCCGCCAAGGCGAGTGCCACATTTTGGAAACGACCCGCCCTCCATCTGCGACATTGTTGCCAATCTTCAAGCTTAAAGATCATAAATGGTCAGGAGGTTTCAGGCGAAACGCCCAGCCCTCCCTTTCGATCGGCCTCTGGGTGCGACAGGGGGGAGTTATCTAGAAGGAGAAGGAATGGGGGATGTGCGCGGCATGCAAGGCGAACGAGTGGTCACCTCCGCAACGGAGCCCCCCAGGCGGCGCGGCGTACCGCCCGCCAACGGAAGGGCTCCACCCTTCAGGATCATTGATGCGCACCGCAGCCGCCCCAGAAAGCCGGTCGCAGCCTAGCCCAGCGGAGATCCGCTCGGGCCCGTGGAGCCCATCCAGCGTACCTGCTGGGCCGCCAGGGAGCCGGCGCGGCAGCTGGCTCCAGGGACGGCTTGCCCTCGAAAGGGAGACATCAGATCTTTCTGTGTCCCGTTGGGGCTTTCGGTTATGATCCTGTTGAGGTTTTCAGTGTACCCCAGCGGGGCTTCCTGTGTCCTGGGGTGGTTGTCCGTGTTTTCAAGAGGCAATGCGGAGGTTCTGAAAAGCTCCATCGCAGGTCTGTAAGAGGCTCTTGCTACGCCTCTAGCAGACTCTTATGATGCTGTCACGAGGCTCTGTACAAGCTCCCACGAAGCTCTCAAGAGGCTTTTGCGACGCTCTTCAGAGGCTCTTATTAATCCATTCGCACATGACACGCGCATGCGCTAGCAGCACAGCACCAACCACACATATCAATCAGATGCATCATGGGCCGTTCATCAAGTGTATACACCAACACCATATAGGAACAACATCGAACAGTCACAGCCATTCTCAACTCACGTCGCACTCATACACCAACACCATACATACACTGAGCACATGCAACACTAACACATGCACATACCACACCCACATCTATCGCTACATACATCAATACCATGCGTAGTCACAATACACCATTCACGCTCGTCACACGTTACGACTAGGGTTGAGCATAGCGGACATATAAGTAGAACTCTCGTTCATAACACAATATGAACTCACACCAATGACACTAACATGAAATAACGCACATGCTCATGCAACGCCAATAAGCTAGACGTCCACACATCAATCTAGTAAACATACAACGCGCACATACACATATTGATAACATACGTGCGTATCAACCATTTTACACAGCTGGCATGTAACAACATGCGTGCATACCATATATAGAATACTTGAAACGACCAAGCGCAAATCATGTTGTGTCATATCACGCTGCCGAGTCACACGCGACAGACTTCGGTGCCAATCGCAGCAACTCCCTAGCGTTTTATTGTTTCCCCACTTCGACTTTGTCTTCGAGGTTCTTGCTTGTCTGTGAAGAAACCTGTGAGCGCTGGACGCGGTCGCGCTGGGGTTGCTCGAGGTTTTCTGGTCTTGTTTCCCCACGAAGTGATTCCTCGGGTTTCCCCATTCTTGGGGTTGCCTGGTCTTGATTCTTGCCTTCCTCCGTCGGGTTCCCCAGTCTTGTTCCTTGCTTGGGTTCTTCGGGTCCCCCGGTCTTGTTCTTTGCTTGGGTTCCTCGGGGTCCCCGGTCTTTTTCTTCGGGCTCCCCAGGTTCCCCAGTCTTTTTTCTTTTTTGGTTTTCTCAGGTTCGTGGTCTTGTTTCTCGGTTTTCCCAGTATTGCAAAGCAGCGCCAAGCAATGCAGAGCAACGCTAAGCAATGCAAAGCGTTGCTAATCCATGCGCAACGATGCCACGCAATGCCAAGCAGGGCCAATCAATGCCAAACAGTGATCAGCAATGCTAAGCAATGCCGAGCAGCGCCAAGCAGTGCAAATAAGCAAAACAATACCAACCGATGCCAAGCAAGACCAACCAGCGCCAAGCAACGCCAGGCAGTGCGCCTATACAGAAGGCAGCTTCCCCTTGATCGGGTCGCGCCAGGTTCTCTGTCACGACGCCAGGACGCTTGGGCTCGGCGATGAAGAAACATCCCCCGAGTCTCTCACGGGGTGCGCTCTGGCCAGGATCTCGAGGGGAATCCAGCCCGCGGCCACGAGGTCGTTCCAGCACGCCTCGGAAGGGCAACAAAACAGCTGGAGGCTCGATCCTCGATGGATTCGTCCCAGGCGTGCGACGTCCTGATCTTTTCCATACGGGATCCTCGGAAGTCCCGACCCTTTCCCCGGGCCGGTTTTCCATCGCGAGTCGTGTTTTGACAGCCCTCGGGCCCAGCGAGGGCCCCCAGATGCCGAAAACGGCCAGGAGCCTCCCATCCTGCTTTTTCCGCGACGCGAGCACGTCTGGGGGCTCACAGCGCGGGGAGGTCCTGGACTGGCCGAGGAGAGGGAGAGCTGTGTGGTCCCTCATGGGAGCCTCAGGGGGTCCCCCAATTCTTCTTGCAGTTTTGGAGATTTCGTCCAGATTGCGTCGAATTTGGTCGACATCTGGACGACATCTGGACGAAGTCTGGACGAAGGGGTGGAGAGGGGTGGTCGAAGTCGGGACGAAATCCGGTCGAAATGACGTTGATGATAGGGCCGCGGATGGTCCACAGAGCCGCCGAAGGACATGCTCACCCAAGGAACGTGCTTTGCCCGGGCCCATCAGCGCGAGACCCGGCGGCTGCCCGCGGGCCCCGGCCGGGCGAGGACGCGGGCCTGGTGCTGTGCAGCTGCCGGTCGGGGGAGCTGCCGCCAGTACGGGAGCTGGTCGAGGGCGCGCTGCTGAGCGCGCTGTCGCCGCGTCCCCGGGTGGTCCGCCGGCCGCAGGGTCGGTCAGGGGCAACGTTGGGAGGGACTCGATTTGAGGAGCAAGTTTTGACATGGATGTCCTCGCTGATTTCTTGGATTGGATTGGCGTTGGGCCCCGCTTTCTGGCGCGCGGAGCGCGCCAATGGCGGCGCTGGAGGCGCCTTCAGGGGGCTCCAGCGCCGATCCGAGAAATCCGCGCGGGCCTGCGACGGCTTATGTTGTCCATGTGTTCCCCGCCAGAGAGGCTTAGGGCGGGATGCATCGACCCCCAGTCGCCCCTCGGATCACCGATAAGGCCCGACAGCCCAGCCTGCCCAGGAACGTGTGGATTCCGTGGTCGGGGGCCTATCGCCGACCCGTCTGTAATGTATCGCCGATTCCAGCTCGATTTTTGCCCCCCGAGCCGGTCCCACCCCAACGTGCCCCTCAAGAGTCGAGGACGGGCGATCGGGCGTTTCTGGTGGAGGGCGTTTCTGGACGGCTTTGGGCGCCCTCGTGGCTACGGCTGGGCTCTTCCAGAGAAATTTTGACCAGAGCGCATCCCAGAAGATCTGGCCCCCGAGCCCAGGCTCCACCCACGCGCAGAGGGGGGTGGGGGGGATGGGGGGGGAGGCCTTCTCAGAAGCACCTCTGCTTCTTACAAGGCGCGGGCCTTGTCTATAGATGTAAGGCCGGCGCCTTCTGAGAAGCAGCCTCCTTCTAAGAAGCCCTCCCCCACTCTCTCCACGCCGTTGTGCGCGCCGCCAGAGACTTCGCGTCGTGCAGAAATCACGGCGGGAGGTTTTTGGTCGCTTTCTTACTTTGGTTTTTTTTGCTGTGGGGCCCAGGGCCGTCAGAAACATGGCTCGGGATGAGGAGCCCCTCCCCAGGAAGGGGTCGGGACCTCTGGAGGTCCTCGTTGCGACAACAACTGCGACGTCGGAGGTCTGGGCTCCTTGGCGTCCGATTTTCCCCTCCCCCCCCTCTTCCCTTCCCCGTTGTTCCCTCCTCTGCCCCCTCGCCCCCGCTACCCCTCCCCCCCTCTCCGCCCATCCTCCTCTCCCTTTCCCCCCCTCTTCCCTCTTCTATGCCCCCCCCCTCCATATTCCTTCCATTTCCCTCTTCTCCGCTCCCCCGAATTGTGAGTGCTACCCCCCTCAGCGTCCTGGCTTTAACTCTACCCTCCCGCGTATGGTTTTCATACAGGATTTCATGTTCCACATGCCCCAGGGACGAGGAGGAGGAGGAGGAGGAGGAGGAGGAGGAGGAGGAGAAGAGGAGGAGGAAGAGGGGGGAGGAGGAGAGGAGGAGGAGGAGGAGGAGGAGGAGGAGGAGGAGGAGAGGAGGAGGAGGAGGAGGAGGAGGAAGAGGAGGAGGAGGAGGAGAAGGAGGAGGAGGGGGAGGAGGAGGAGGAGGAGGAGGAGGAGGAGGATGAGGATGATGATGATGATGATGATGATGATGATGAGGAGGAGGAGGAGGAGGAGGAGGAGGAGGAGGAGGAGGAGGAGGAGGAGGAGGAGGAGGAGGAGGAGGAGGAGGTGCGCGGCGCTGAGGCGAGAGCCACATATTGAAAACGGCCCGCCCTCAATCCGCGAAGCTCTTGCAAAGTTGAAAGACGAATGTGCGCGGCGCTAAGGCGAGAGCCACATTCTGAAACCGACCCGCCCTCAATCCAGGAAACTCTTGCAACGTTAATAAACGAGTGTGCGCGGCGCTAAGGCGAGAGCCACATTTTGAAAACGACCCGCCTTCAATCCGTGAAGCTCTTGCAATTCCCAACTCTCCCTTCGTTGGGTTCTCGTTTTGAGTAGAGCAGTGTGTGCCCCACTTTCCCCTTCTCCTCCCTCCTCCCTCCTCCCTTCTCTCCGCCTCCCCTTCGTCCATTCCCCGCCCCCCTCTCTTTCCTGTCTAGTCGTCTTCTCCCTCGTCGAGGCCTCGCGGCCCGCCTTTGGGGCTGCGAACCGCGCAATTGTCGCCGCTTTCGTGGGCGTCTGGGAGGTCCAGCGGAGTGGAGGTCCACGCGGATCTGCCGAGACCTCGCGGCGCCTTGCGGGGCTGCGAACCGCACAATTGCCGCCACTTTCGTGGGCTCCTGGGAGGTCCAGCGGAGTGGAGGTCCACGTAGATCTGCCGAGACCTCGCGGCTTCCTGCGGGGCCGCGCACCGCGCAATTGCCGCCACTTTCGTGTTCTCCTGGGAGGTCCAGCGGAGTGGAGGTCCACGCGGATCTGCCGAGACCTGACGGCTCCCTGGGGGGCTGCGAACCGCGCAACCGTTGCCACTTTCGTGGGCTCCTGGGAGGTCCAGCGGAGTGGAGGTCTACGCGGATCCGCCGAGACCTCGCGGCGCCTTGGGGGGCTGCGCACCGTGCAACTGAGGCCACTTTCGTGAGCTCCTGGGAGGTCCAGCGGGCCCTGGGGGGCTGCGAGCCGTGCAACTGGCCTCCATTTCGTGGGCTCCTGGGAGGTCCGCGTGGACCCAGCCTAGACCTTGTGGCTCCCTGGGGGCTGCGAAGTGCGCGTCTTTCATCATGTTCGTTTGTGTTGAACGATCCTCAATCTAGCTGTCCCGTGTTGGAGAGGCGTTGGGTACGTCACCGAGTAATTTTTGAAACGAATGTGTGCGGCGCTGAGACGAGAGCCACATATTGAAAACGACCCGCCCTCAATGCGTGAAGCTCTTGCAACTTTTGAAACGAATGTGCGCGGCGCGAAAGCGAGAGCCGCATTTTTGAAGCGACCCGCCCTCCATCTGCGAAACGGTTACCAGTTTTTCAGCTTGATGCTCATAATGGTAAGGAGGTCTCAGGCGAAACGCCCAGTTCGCCCTTCCAACTGGCCTCGGGGTGCGACAGGGAGAAGCTATAAGGAAAAGGAAGGGAGGAGGAGGAAGAGGAGGAGGAGGAGGAGGAGAAGGAGGAGGAGGATGAGGAGGAGGAGGACGAGGAGGAGGAGGAGGAGGAGGAGGGCGAGCAGAAAGGCCAGAGGCCTCCTTGGATTCCCCTCGGAGTCTCTTCGGATGTCTCTTAAGAGCTTCTTGGAGTCCTCTTGGGGCGTCTTGGGGGCCTCTTGGTGGTCCCGGCGGCCTCTTGGAGCGTCTGAGGTGCCTCGGGAGAGCTTCTTGGGGCCTCTTGGGGGTCTCTTGGGGGCCTCTTGGGGGTCTCTTGGGGGCCTCTTGGAGCTTCTGGGCGCGTCTTGGGAGCCTCTTGGGGCACTCTTGGGAGCCTTGGGGGCCAATTTGGCCATCTCGGAGGAGTTTGATCAAAGAGGGGGGGTATGTAATGAGGCTTTACCCTCCAGGAGGTGAAACAATTGGATTAAAACCTTAGGAGCACCAGTGATTTACCATTTTGCTGAGGCCTTCTTGGGCGCTCTGACACCTCGCGGCCCCTCCCCTCCAGACCCAGGGTGGGTGGTAGGGGGAGGGGTCGAGGCCCCTCCCAAAACCGCAAGCCGTTTCGTTCAATCCCATCCGCCCTCCCAACACATAAGTAGTACCCGAGTCTTAGCACATAGTCGAGGAGCGCCACGCATGCCATGTGCGCCACGGGCTCAGGTGCACCAGGCACCCTGGAGGCCCAGGCGTGCGAGGCGCGGCAAGTGCGGCACGTGCTCCACGAGCGCCACGTGCGCCACGTGCTCCAGCCGCGCCAGGTGTTGGAGGCAAAGTGCATTCCGTATTCTTTTCGACAGGGACGAATGGCTTGCGGGCAACTTGCGCGCAACAAGTATCAAAAGCAAATGAAAGTGGTGAATGGGGCGCCCGCGCGTGCTCCAGAGTTGGAGGCAATGTGCATTCTACATTGTTTTTTGACCGGCCTGCGCGCATCAAGCAGCATGCCGGCACCCCCGCCGTCCCTGTCCAAAACCAATGCAGAGTGGTCGCGGGCCGCCCGCCGAGTGGTCGCGGGGCGCCCGCGCATGTTCCGGATTTGGAGGTACAGTGCATTGTGTTTTGTTTTCTGACAGGGTCGGTCGGCTTGCGCGCAACTTGTTCGCAACGAGCGGCATGCCGGCACCCCCGCCGTCCCTGTCCAAAACCAATGCAGAGTGGTCGCGGGGTGCCCGCGCATGCTCGAGATGTGGAGGCAGAGTGCATTCTGTGTTGTTTTTCGACAGGGGTGTGTGGGGGGTTTGGCATGTCCTGGGTTGGCCCGCAGTCGGGTTGGGGGAGGGGGTGCTTGATAAGAAGGAGCAGTGATCAAGCTACCCCAAGCCGCAAGCCACGTCGCTCACTCCCACCCGCCCTCCCAACACATAGGCAGCATCCGAGCCTGGGGCCCCGAGCCCACTGAGTTCATGAGCCCCGTCGGAAGAGCAGTGCACTTTGTATGTTGCCCGGACCGCCCGAGCGCGCGTGCGGACTGCCTCTGCCGCGCTGCGACGTAAGCAGTTTTTTGTCTGCGATCGTGAGCTCGCACAGAGCAGTCAACACCATGGCACCCCCAGCCGCCCCTTCTGTCAGAAGCCGATGCAGAATGGTCGCGGGGCGCCCGCGCATGAGCCCGCTTTTGGCCACGGTGTGCCGTGTGCTTTGTGCTGGCAGCGGGGTGGGTCTGCGCAGGACGCACATCTTGAGGGCACCGCCGCCGTCCCTGGCAGAAGCACCAGTGCAAGGTGACCACGGGGCGCCCGCGCACGGTGCAGATTTTGACGCAAAGTGTATTTTGTATAGCGTTTTGACACGGATGGTATAGCTTTGAGTCGGGCGTGTCTTTCTACAGGAGGAATATTCAAAAATAGTAAAAAATAGTCAGTGGACGATTTTCTTTTTAGTATTTTTGAGTATTCGTTTGAATATTTTTGACTATTTACAATTTTTCGTTCAAAAGCGGCCTGTAGGGGGACATGCCCGACCTAAGTATACCTGCGCAGGGCGGACAATATGAGAGCACTCCCGCTGTCCCCGTCAAGGACCAGTGCGCAGTGCTCGCGGGGCGCCCGGGTCCAGATCTTACCGCAGAGTGCCCTGCGTCGTGGTCGTTGACACGTCTGGCGGGGGCGTGCCCGCAAGGTCCCAGGTTTGTCGCCGGTCGGG